TCCTCCTAGGGCCCCAAAGCCTCCGGGCTGGAGAAGGCCGGGTCCTGCTGAGGTACCTGGTGGCCCAACTGGCATGTGACGGCCCACGGGGACACATTTTCAATCAGTTTCACAGCCCTGGACCCCAAATTCCCACTCTGCTGAGCACAGGGCTGGGAGACAGAGGTGTGGGGACAGCGTGCATGGAGCAGTGGCACAGGAGAGGCGACAGGCAGAGGCTGGGGTCAGGAGAGCACTGAGCTTGTCCTCCAAGGGGCTCGGCTAGGGCCGCTGTGTCCTCGGCCACGTGACTTGTACCTGGAGCTGGTGCCCCGCCCTCTAGGAGCAGGAGCTCGAGGGGCTGGTGACCTCTGTGACTTCACCACCCAAATATTTCATGACTTCATTGCCCAAACATTGACAGAGAGTCTCCCAAGGCCCTGCTTCAAGTGATCCCACCTCAAGGAAGGCGGCCAGGAGGCCTGGGGCCCGGGTAGCCTTCAGGGGAGACCTGGAGGGCGCGAGGCCACGCCCCATGAGGTCACCCAGCAAATCCGCAAGGCCACGCCCCATGAGGTCTCCCAGCAAATCCGCTCAGGGGCTGGGCAGGGCGGCGCCCCGCAGGTTGCAAAATCCAGAGCATCACACTGGACTGGCGGCTCTGGGTGGGGACCTCAAGCCCACTGGTGGCCGCAGAAGTCCCACTGCACGCCACCCCCACCGCCTGCACATGGTGTGGGGTGACCCATTTTTCTGGCCATAGTGTCCCCCAAACCACCAGGCATCCAGTAAACACGCAGGGCTAAGGACAAGAACGGGGGGCCCCGGAGCTCCCAACCACTCCACTCAGAATCTGCAAGGTAGCCCTGGGGGGAAACTGAGGCTTGAACGAAGTAACCATGGGATAGGGAGGCCGGGTCCTGTGGCCAAGAAGAGAGAAGACTTGTAGACACACAGGGGTGATGGGGTGTGAACATGGAGACAGAGGGAGAGATGAGGGAGAGATGAGGGAGGGCCCTGCCTTGGAGCTCTGGGTGATGTAGCTCCATGTGGTCAGCTGCCTGCTGTGTCCTTGGGTGTGGTGACCACAGGACCCTTGCACGGCCCCAGAAGGCAGCCCAGTGAGTCCTCGAAGGAACAGTATGGTGTGGTCTGCAGTCTTTGGGTCTGGAGGGCTGGCCTCCCTGCCCAGGTCAGGAGCAGGATTGTCCCCAGCTTCAGAGGGAGGACACCCACTGCTGAAAGGAGACCAAACCAGCCCTCCACTGTACCCATGGCACTGGTGATGGCCGCAGGAGCCCTGAGGACCCAGAGCATCCACATATGGCCCTTGGCTGGACATGGAGGTGACAGCTCAACTCCCAGTCAGCAAAGGAAACCCAAGCAGGAGGCACTGTGGGTACAGCGGTGACACAGGGACATGGGGCAGGGACGAGGGGACTCACTCCAACAGGCGCTGGTGGTTGAGTTCATGTGAGGGCGGCATCCTGCAGCAGCTGAAGGTGACCACGCGCCTCCCATAGGAGTCGTCGCCTGTGAGAGAGACACAGGCCTGAGCCTCTGGCCGCCCAGCCCGTTGGAGCCAGGAGGCCCGGGAGGGACACCCGCAGCAGGGCGTGGTGGCACAGGCTTGGAACCCCAGCACCAAGGAAGGCTGAGGCAGGAGGACCTCAAGTTCAAGCCCAGCCCGGACAATTTAGGGAGACCCTGTCACAAAAGAAAAAAGAAAAAGAGAAGGGCTAAGGATGTAGCTCAGTGCAAAGACCCTGGTTCTGGGTTTTGTTCTGGGAAAAGAAAAAGAAGAAAAAACAGGAGGAGGAAGAGGAGGAGGAGGAGGAGGAGGAGAAAAAGTCTTGCGTGTTATCGGAGTTAATCCTCACAACCAACCTCTGTGATGGAAACATTCCCATTTTACGGCGGGAAACCATGACTGAGGGCACCTAGGACTTCAATCTGGATACTCTGCCCTCCAAAGCTGTGGTCTGGCTGCCCTGGCACCTCCCCCCACCGCATTAAAGCCCCCCTAGGTCACTCTTGCCGGACTCCCAGAAGTCCTGGTGCTCCTTCCGGTCCTCTGTGGCGGGGGTGTCCCTGGGCTGGCTCCTTACATAGCTGGGCCCACCCTCGAGGTCCTTGGAGGCTCAGGGTCAGGCACACAGTAGGTGCTTTGTAGGCACGCAGTAGGCCCTGCTGAGCCCCAGCCCCATCCTGACCCCCACGCTCAGGCAGGACAGAGCTGGACAGAGGGTGGTGGTTCCTGTTCTCCTCCTCCATCTTCGGTACTGGGGATTGAACTCAGGACCTTCACACAGAGCTACATCCCCACCCCTGGGACAGGGTCTCACTAAGTCACTAAGTGTGACCCAGGTTGGACTCAAACTTTCCATCCTCCAGTCCAGCCTTCCAGTGCTGGGATTACAGGCGTGTGTCACCGTGCCTGGCCCAACTTCTTTATTACATTTGAAGGACACACAAGGACGTGGGGGCAGGGTGTGGTGGTGCACACCTGTAATCCCAGCACTTGGGAGGCTGAGGCAGGAGGATCGCTGTGAGTTCGAGACCAGCCTGGGCTACACAGTGAGTTCCAGGTCAGTCTCAACTACAGAGTGAGAACCTGTCTCAAAAATCCCCCCCCAAAGGACATGGGAAGCACAGCCCAGACGTGGGCTGAGGCACCGGACAGGAGGCCAGGGGCAGCAGGGATGCAGAGGCTGCAGGAACCTTCTGTCCTTTCTCCGGTGACGGGAAGGCTGCCTTGGCCACTCAGCCACCTGCACGGTCTCCTCCTCCCTCACCCCACCTCCGTCTGCCAAGACGGCCTGTCCTTCTAACTGCTGCCCACTGCAGTTGGGATGGGCCGCAGGGGCGCAGTGATGGCCGGTGAGGAGTGGTCCCATCGCTCACTGCGGCTGTGGGAACTTTGCATCCCGGGCAAGTTCTGTCGGGCAGCTCTGCCCGGCCCCACCTGGTGCTGTGGGTTAGCAGGTCTCCTTCCCTGACTCACAACCCTGTCCTCAGACTGCGGCCTTTTTGGGAAGGAGGTCACAGCAGGCATGTCGGTGGTTCAGACAACCTTGTCCTGGACGTGGGGTGCCCTCCAAACCCACAGACCTGCATGACGGGCGGAGAGGGAGAGGAGACACACAGGAGAGGTGATGTCCCTGGGGAATTCGGGGAGGTTACTGACACAGCAGCTCACCAAGGGACATGGGGTCCAGGTGTGCCCTCTACAGAGCCTGCAGGAGCCTCCGGCCCACACCTCCAGTCCAGGCTTCTGGCCCCAGAGCCACGAGAGCCAGCATCTGCTTTGCTTGGTGTTTTGGAGACAGGGCCTTGCTATGTAGCCCAGGCTGGCCTTGAACTCATGGTGATCCTCCTGCCTCAGCCTCTCCAGGGCTGGCTCACAGATGTGTGCCCCACACCAGGCTCCGACGTCTGCTGTTTGAAGCCCCTTCCAGGGGACAGGGGTCCTTGGATGGGGCTCCTTCCTGCCACCCGCCAGGGACCATGAAGTGGTCAGCCAGGGGGTCTCCCAGAAGCAGGGTCCTGGGTCGCATGAAACTGCCACCATCAGTGGCCCCTTGAAGCTCACTGGGCCACGTGTCCACTCGCCTCTCCCCGTGCCCCTACAGTCCACATCCTTCTGCCTCAGGACCCTCCAGGCTACTGGGTGTCACCTTCTCTCCTGTCCCCACCCCCCTTCCTCCCCTTTTTTCCCTACCTCTCCTCCCTGGCTGACCCCCCTCACCCCCTTCCTGCAACCCAGCCGGCCCAGCCCAGGGGCCCAAGTCCAGCAATCATCGATCGCAGAAAGCTTATCAGCACCCTGAAGCACCTAAGGGTCCCCTCCTAGAAAGGGACAGGACTTTGCCGTTGATAAGTAGTACCGACATCAATCCCCAGGGAGGTTCCTTGAAATGCTACCTGAGGCTCTGAAAACAATGAGCTGTGTTTACAAGCATGGGCATGGCACACTAGGGGTGAGGTGAGCTCCGGTGTCCCTCCCTGCTGCCCGTCCAGGGAGCTGCTCATTGTTTAGGTCATAAGTCTCATTCCTCCAGGAGGCCAGAAGCTCGCTGATTTCTGGAATCCAGGGGATTTTCAGTTTCCAAATACAGCCTCCTGCACTCTCCCAAACTCCCTCTGACACTGGTCAGGCTTCCTCGTGTGTCCAGTGACAAGAAAAAGTGTTGTGCTAACTGTCACCTGGCCCAGGAGACAATCAGGCTTCAAAATCCCAGGTACGGGCCGGGGCTCCGTGGTTTCACCACCTGCCTTGCAAGCACAGGGATCTGAGTTCGATCCCTGGTACAAAAAAAAAATCCCAGGTACCAGATGGCCAATAATAAGTGCATGACAAAAATGTTCAAAGTGGCCAGAGGTCAGAGAAACGCACATTAAAACAACACCGAGATTCCATCTTACTCCACAGAGAATAACCACAATCAAGAAATAAAACAAAAACAAATTCTTCGAGGCTGCAGGGAAAAAAAGGAACCCTCCTCTCTCCACTGTTGGAGGAAAGGAAACCAGTACAACCACTCTGGCAATCAGCATGGAGATTCCTCAAAAAACTGAAAGGAAAAATTTCATTCCATGCCCAGCTCTTCTCCCCCTGTTAGTTAGGTATCTTCCAGAAAGAGTTAAAGCCATCAGATCACAATGTTCCATGTTTACAGCAGCACAACTCTTAATAGCTAAATCTTGGAAGCAGCCTGTATGCCCATCAGTAGATGTGTGAATAAAGTAAGCATGGTATTTACACCCAATGGAATACTACTGTACCATAAAGAAGGATAAGCCTGAGTCAGTCATCTGGAGGAAAATGGATGTACTTTGAGACCACAATGCTAAATGAAATAAATGAGATTCTCAAGCTTAAATAGTGTGTGGTTTCCCTCTCTCTCTTTCTCTCTCTCTCTCTCTCTCTCTTTTAATATGGGGGATCGAACTCAGGTCCTTGTGCTTGTGAGGCAGGCGCTGGAACCACTGAGCTAAACCCCCAGCCCTTGTTTTTCTTATACAGAAACTGAAACACAAGTAAAGAGCAAAAATAAAAGACAACTAATAGAAAGTAGGGAGATCTTTTGCAAACGGGAAGGGGAATAAGAGTTGCAGGGAGCAGGGAGGGTGGGAGGGAAAGAGGACAAAAAAAAAGAATTAAGATGCATTATGTACATGTACCAACTCCCCACAAGGAATGTAATTATGTACTGTAAACATGGGCAAATAAAAATAATAACTCAGGCCAGGAGTGGTGGCGCAAGCCAGTAATTCCAGCACTCGGGAGGCTGAGGCAGGAGGACCGCTGTGAGTTCAAGACCAGCATGGGCTACATAGTGAGTTCCAGGTCAGTCTCAACTACATAGTGACACCCTGTCTCAAAAAACAAAACACAAAACAACCCCCCCCAAATAATAATTCAGCCAGGCATGGTGGTGCACGCCTGTAATCCCAGCACTCAGGAGGCTGAGGCAGGAGAATTGCTGGGAGTTTGAGGCCAGCCTGGGGATACATAGTGAGTTCAAGGGCAGCCTGAACCACATATTGAGCCCATCTTTAAAAAAAAATAAACCCAAAAATAAAAAGTAAAAATTCACACTCGCTCTTCAGATCATGTTTCTTTTCCTACTTTTTTTTGGGGGTGCGGTATTTGAGACAGGGTCTCACTATGTAGTTGAGACTGACCTAGAACTCACTGTGTAGCCCAGGCTGGTCTCGAACTCACAGAGATCCTCCTGCCTCAGCCTCCCAAGAGCTGGGATTACAGGCGTGCACCACCACGCCCGGCTTCTTTCCTACTTTTAATCAATGTAAAATCTTACCACCTAGTGCTCCTGTCTTGACCAGTCCTTTGTTCAGGAAGACAAGCGCCTAGAAAGCATCTCTAAAAGGAGTCCCCAGCACCCCCGAACCTGGTAATCTATTTTGGCAAAGCCAGTCAGAAGGCTTTTATTTCTTCAACCCAGCCGGCAAGCCACAACACCCCCAGGTAGTTGGAGAACACACAATCCCCAGGCAGTAGGGTCCACAGACCCTTTCAGCCAGAAGTAAGTATCGGAAGACAGAGACTATCACACCCTCAGGAGCCCACGTCTCTCAGGGGGAAATGGGGCAGGAGATTAGGAGGGGCAAAGCTGGCTAAGCAAGTGGGTGTGACCTCTGCACAATAGAAATCCAGGAAATGCACAGGAAAACAGTTCCCAAAACCCTGAGCCTGGGACCAATCAAATCAGAGAATGCTATCTTCAAATGCTATCTCACGAAAACTAAGCAGATTTTTGATTGGACAGCAGCAACTGGCCCTCAGTCCTGGGAGACAGAAAAGATGGCTGCCGTTAAGCTTTGGGGTTGTTACTATCAAGCACCTCAAGCTGACTTAAAAATGTGGATTAGAGCTATAGATATTTACCGTATTAGAAGCCAGAAACTGAAAATCTTAAAACACTTGTTCAAATATTTAAACAAATAACACAGTTTAAATGTCTTACAGAAGGAACTTTGTTTCTCACCTTTCTTTTGCTGGCCCCTGACCTGTGGAGCTGTGTTCTCCACATCCGGCCCAGCACCCTTTCTTCCCAAGCCCCAAAGTTTTGTAGAGAGGGTATTGAGGGCTTCCGTGACCTGCAGAACCTTGTCCTCTGGTCCCTCCTCTATACCTGGCGCATTCTGACTCTGTGTGTTTCTGGGAGCTCCACCGGACGGAGAACTGTGCCCCTCTGTGTGTCCGCTCTCCTGGACCCCCGCTCCTTGGAGGTGACAGTCCATGGCGGGAGGCCAGGTGCGGGGACCTGGAGGGGACTGCTCGCGGGAGACGGCTCACAGAAGGCCTCTGGTCCCCAGGCCTACGTCACAGCCCACAGTCCCTTACCCTCTGATGCACAGGACTGTGGCTGCAGACACGGGCTGTTCTGGAGGCGACACTGCAGCACCGTGTCCTTGGTCAGCACAACAAACCATTTTGCTTGGGCTCCCACCACCCTAGGCTTCTCAGAGCGCCCCGCAGTGTGGTGACAAGCATGTCCTTGCTCTCTCAGGACAGCTGCAGGTACCTCGTTCCCACTACTTTCGTCCTGGGGACCCCCCTCCGCCTCTCAGGGACCGTGCAGCTGAGGACCTACCTGCCATCTGCAGGATGCCATGCCTGGCCACGTCATAGAACGGGTGACTGGTGCTCAGCATGGGGTCCTCGCCAGCCATGGCCACCACTGAGGGTCTTCTCGATGCACCCAGTGCGGCTGCCTCCTCCTGGGGTCTCTGCAGCTCTGCTGAAGGCAGCGGGCGTGAGCGGAGCAGCCCTGCTGTGCCAGCCCCTGCCTCTGCCACAAGCCCTCTACGTGCTCGCCTGTGCCCCGCACCCATGACACACCCTGACTCAGTGCCCACCCAAGGCGTAGCAGTGAGGGAGAGAGAGGAGACCCGAGGGCTCAGTTCTGTCCTCAGGGCCCGGCGTGGAAACTCAGGCCCAGACACTGGCAAATCCTGACCCAGATGCCAGCACTGTGGCCAGCGGGCAGCAGGGCCCAGGAGGACAGGGTCGAGGGCAGAAACCAGGGATCCCGCTGGGTGAGGAGGGGTGAAGATGCGGCCACGACTCAGGGACGCCAGGAGCTTCAGGCACCGGCACAGGCTGGACGGACCTTTTTCCACAGCCTTGGGCCCTCACCGTAGGCACCGTTCTCCAGCCGGTGAACAGGTTTTGAACTCTGGCCTACGGATCTGTGAAAGGGCGGCTTCCTGTTGTTAAACCGGTCACTTAGAGCCCTAGCAGCCGTGGTGAAGAGTTGGGCTCTGCGCAGGGCCCCGGGTGGTCACAGAAGGGGGAAGGAGGTGGGGGAGCAGGGACGAGGCTGGGCACCCATGGACCCACCGTGGCCGAGTGAGAAGCTAACGGAGCCAGGGCGATGGGTAGAATGGGCCCCCGGACGGGTGTGCTGAAAACAGCCCCAAACACACGCCAGGTATAGAGGGGATCGGCAGCTCTGAACAGGCGATCAGGGGTGTGGCGGGGGTGGCTTTGTCACTGGCAGAGCTCAGGATTCAGCTGAGAACCCGGCAGGCATCTCACAGGGGCCTCAGACTTCCCGGCCTCTGCTCCGCTCCTGGGCACGTGCCCAGGAAAACCGAAAACGGGGCTGGAACGTACACAGGTGTGGCACAAGCGGGAGTCAGCCCCGTGGGCACAGCAGGGGCGGGCAGCGGGCCACCCCTTAGCTTCAGGACGGCAGCAACTCGGGCAACCGCTCTGGCCCAGACACACAGGCCTCGTGTGTGCCCCGCATCGCCCACACGCCCCACCGCAGAGCCCCGCTGAGGCCAAGAAGGGCAGAGGGCTCCCCCGGCGCGGCCGTTCCCTGGGCACAGTCCCACGGACTGGAAATGTGCGGAACAAGCAAGTCCAGAGAGGCCGGTCGGGGAGGCAGGGCTGAGGGAGGGGAGAACAGAAAAGCAGCTGCTGTAGGTACAGGGCTCCCTGCCAGGGTGACAAACACGCTCTGCAACCACACAGAGGCAGAGAGACACGCCGTGAGTGAACAAAACACCCCTGGACCGTGCGCTTTAAAATGGTTCGATTCAGCTGGCCGAGGGGGTGCACGCCGGTAATCCCAGCATTCTGGGAGGCTGAGGCAGGAGGATCATGAGTTTCAGCCCACTCTGGGCAACTCAGCGGGAGAGGAGTGAATGAGTCACAGCCCCTGCAGTCAGGAGCAGGGACCAGACCCCGTGTCCAGGTGTACCCTGCAGGACAGGTGTTCAGCTCGGGGCTGCAGCCTTTCCGTTTGCCATTGGAACCCCAGAGAGGTAAGTCTGCACTCAAGGGAGGACTGCGCCCCCTGGCCCATCACTGTGCCCAGTTGTGACGGGGTCGGCCTGAAGGTTAGCGGGCCACGCGACCCACCCAGATGCCCAGCCCCGATGCCGGGCGGGCAGCCCTGAGCCAAGGCTCCCTGTGCATCCTTCCAAGTAGACCTCACCTTCTCAGTGCCTCCAACCCTCAGTTTCCCTGCCTGTGAAATGGGGACACAGAGCCATCACTGTCCAAGTGGCCACGAGCAGGGAATGGGGTGTCACTCACTGAGGTCCTGGGTAACCCCAGAGCATGCACCCCACTCCCCAGGAGTTTTCTGGAAAGATAAACTGTCCCCTTGGGTGGCAGGCAAGGACAGGGCCTGGGAAAAGCTGGAAGACCTCCAAATGGCTTGGGGCCATGTGATCAGATCTTACAAACACAGCTGGGCATGGTGGCACACGCCTGTGATCCCAGCACTTGGGAGGCTGAAGCAGGAGGATTGTCACAAATTTGAGGCCAGCCTGGACTACCTAGTGAGTTCAAGTCCAGCTTAAACTATGTAGTGAGACCCTGTCTCAAAAAAAAAAAAAAAAAAAAAAAAAAAAA